ATATATTATTATCGATACTTTTAATTATTGAAAATGTTGAAGATAAAATCGAAATTTAAAATATTGATATTATATAAAATTTGAAAGTTTAGATATTTGTGAAAAAATATTCATACTTTTCAAATTTAAGAAAAATGAAAAATGATATTTTAACTTACGAATTTAAAAGTATCGATACTTTTAGAGAAGTATTTATACTTTGCAGCCTTCTCATTTTCCATGTTTTTCTTTAAATTTGAAAGTATCAATACTTTGTAGCCTTCTCATTTTTCGTTTTTTAATTCAAAAGTATCGATACTTGTGAAAAAATATTCAACTTTTGAATTTAAAAAAACATGAAAATGATCTTTTTACTTTCGAATTTAAAAGTATCGACACTTTTAGAAAAGTATCAATACTTTGCCGCCTTCTTATTTTCCATATTTTTTTTAATTCAAAAATATCGATACTTGTGAAAATGTATCCATACTTTCAAATTTTTTATAATAAAAATATTAATATCCCATATCACAACTTACTTTCTTAGTGAACCATAACATTTTTTGGTGCAAGTCATTTTATTAATAAAAATATTAACATTTCAGATCGCAACCTATTAGTGAACCATGCTATTCTTGGGTGCAATCGTATTTCTTAAATATAGTCATACCTAAGGATGGGCATGGGTCGGGTTGGCCGACCAGAAAATTTTACATCCTTAACTCGACCCGACCCAACCCGAAAAATATATACCTTTCACCCGAACTTGACCCAATTTTTTTAGATAAAATCCAAGCCCGATCTGACCCGACCCAAAATAATAAAAAATATTTATTTTTATTCAATAAAAATAGTTATTTAATTGAAAAAAATAATATATATAAGGGTATTATTGTAATTATTCATAAATATATAAGGTAAAATTATATTTTTTTTAGGTCGGGTCGAGTATTTTTCACTCTAAAACTGAATCTGACCTGACCCGAACCCAAAACTTTTTTTTAAAAAACCTACCCGATCAGGTTGGGTCAGAACCCATCGGGTTCGGGTCTCATGCCCATCCCTAGTCATAACATTTTCAACTTTAATTTATTTTCTTATCGTGGAAAAATCTAAGGCTCTAGCATCTTAAACACTAATAACATTTTAGGCGCAACCCATTGTATTAATAAAAATATTAACATTCTATATCATAACCTATTACTTAGTGAACCATGATTCTTGAGCGCAACTCATTTTATTAATAAAAATATTAACATTTCATACCACAACTTATTTCTTAGTGAATCATGATATTCTTGAGCGCAACCAATTTTATTAATAAAAATATTAATATTTTAGATTGCAATCTATTTCTGAATGAACCATGACATTCTTAGGAGTAACATATTTTATTAATAAAAATATTAACGCTCTAGATCGCAATATATTTCTTAGTGAACCATGAAAATTTTAGGCACAATTGTATTTCGTATATATTTATAACATTTTCAGCTTTTAACTTTTTTTCTTATAGTGAGAAAATTCAAGGCTCCATCAACTTAAACTTTGGTAACATTTTAGGTGCAACCTAAAATGTTAATAGTATGCATAACATTTGCAGTTTATAACTCATTTTCTTACCTTGTATAACATTTTAAGTGCAACCTGTTATGTTATTTATATTGATAACTTTTTCGGTTCCGTTTTATAACATTTTGTGTTTCTCTTTTAACCTGTAAGATAGGTTTCTCGGTTACACCATTTTAAGTTATTTTAAAATAATTACAAAATAATATATTACATATCAGTGGCAGATCCAGAAATTTAAGAATGTGGGTTTAAAATTTTAATTTTCTTTTCTTAAAAATAATGAGTATGCAAAAATTGTAATTTTTTTTACTTTTTTCCTTAACACATTAAGGTAAATTTAACCACTTTTCTAAAATAATGGGAATGCACTTGGACCCTATGGGGCTTAGTGCATCCGCCACTGTTATATATAAGTTAACATTTCTGGTGTCACAAAACCTATTTTATTAAATTCCTTTTCGAATTTCGATTACACCAATTTTAGCCTTATATTACTATGTCGTTACTTAGAATCCCCATTATTCCGGCATACGTGAAAGACACTATCTCTAAAGTGTCTTTAAGTGATATTGCTACATATACAAAAGACACTACCTATTAAAAATATCTTTTAAAAATATTAGAGTAAATTATGTATTTAATACTTAAACTATTAATTTTGACTTATTTTAATACATAAACTTTCAATTTTTTTAAAATCTTACCTAAAGTTTAGTTTGTTTCATTTTAGTACCTCATCGTTTAAAACTTTTATTTTTATTTTATTTTAGTACTCATGTTTAAAATTTAACGTAAAGTTTTGAAAAAAATCAAAAGTTTAGGTACTAAACTGGATCAAAACTAATAGTTTAGGTACTAAATACGTTAAACTTTTAATAGTGGGATATTAAAATGAAATAAAAACTAAACATTAAATATGATTTAAAAAAAATTAAAAGTTTAAATGCTAAAACGATCAAAATTAATAATTTAGATATTAAATGCATAATTTACCCAAAATATTATCACGAATCCAAAATGTGCTCTTTGTAAAAAAAACTTTCTTTTAAAAGGCGTCGTATAAAAAATAGGGTAAAATATAGTAATGGTCACTGAACTTTTCTAAAGCTTTTATTTAGGTGCCTTAACTTTTAAAACTTGCAATATAGTCCTCCAATATTTAGTTCGTTTGCAATATGGTCTCCCAACTTTTAGTCTATTTACAATATGGTCCCCAACCGTTTGTCGCTGTTACACTGCCATTAGTACGTTTGCAATATGGTCATTAAACTTTTCATGCACTTACATTTAGGTCCCCAACTTTTAAAACTTACAACACAGTCCTAAATTTTATTCTAAACCCCAAATTCCTTTTCGATCTCGAATTTCTTTTTTCGCTTCTCTCTTCTTATTTCCAGTGTAACTTTTCAGTTGGGGATGCATGGAAAATTCTAATCTAACTTTGAATTATGTGGAGGTGTTGACTTGAATAAGGATCCATTGAGAGAAGACCCGACCAAGGGACTATCGGGACCATCATCGATTCAAGGTGTAATGTTAGATACAAGTCATTTTAGGTGAAACATGGATGTTCGATGAAATGCTTGTGAGAAAAAAATGGGGCTAGAAATGCAAAGTTGACAAATACTACTAAGATGAAGTAAGTATCATTGTTGAAAGTCGCCAACAAAGCTGGAATTATTTTGTATAAATGACATATAATAATTTCTTCGTTTAATCCTTGCGCTTAAAGATTTTCCAACAGATGATCAAATATAATGAAATCCCAAACAACGCATTCACCTCTCAGTCTCATTCGCAACTCGAAAAACATCATGACAGGGTGAATTAGATGCTTCAAATATATTATGTTGTCATGATGCCTTTCGAGTTGCGTGTATGCATAATTGTCTTCTAAAGCTATAATTCAATACAATTCAACTCTAAAATTTCTAAAACATGTAAAAAAAATTAATTCGTTCACGATATATCAGTCCCATAATCAACATGAACTTATTAAAAAGAATACAAGCTCACAGGACGCCAAAAACCATAGGTCGGATCAATACAATTCCCAGTAAACTAGCACCATCAGTCTCTCGGGTTGAGCCTGACGATTTCAATATGTCGATACTCACAACCAATTACCTGATTTAAAGAAAAACCAGACAAGAATATCAAAAACATTTAGCCTAGAACCTTATTTCACTTCTATTCTGATGGACTGAATATCTTTCATAAGAAGTACTAAAAGTTTTTATTAAGAAGAAAGAAAGAAAATTAGATGGTTTTGGTTCAAAACTAACACTGAATATTCAGATCATTGACATGTAGTTCCAGAAACATAAAAATTTCAACAAAAACACACAATGCGAGCTGAAAATGGGAAAGTGCGAAAGAGGAAAAACTTACTTCTGGATAGCCCAAAAGAGAAAATAAATACCTTCTTGCAAGTGAGGGGAGAGGCTAAGAAATAAACGCAATCGGTGTTGCGTTCAAGCAATTCTTCCTCCATTTTTTCTTTGTAAATAAAAAGCTGAAAGACAAAGCACTGCTTGGTTTACAATTTTACATGGTGGAAAATTAAAGAACAAAAACCAAACGATAGGTGAATGCGTTGTTTGGGATTTCATTATATTCGATCATCTGTTGGAAAATCTTTAAGTACAAGGATTGAATGGATAAATTATTATATGTCATTTATACAAAATAATTATTGCTTTATTGGTGGCTTTCAACAATGATACTTAGTTTATCTTAGTAGTATTTGTCAACTCTGCATTTCTAACCCCATTTTTTCTCACAAGCATTTCATCGAACATCTATACTTCACCTGAGATGACTTGTATCTAACATTACACCTTGAATCGTTAATGGTCCCGATAGTCCCTTGGTCGAGTCTTCTCTCAATGGACCCTTATTCAAGTCAACACCTCAACATAATTCAAAGTTAGATTAGAATTTCCCATGCATCCTCGACTGAAAAGTTACGCAGGAAATGAGAAGAGAGAAGCGAAAAATGAAATTTGAGATCGAAAAGGAATTTGGGGTTTAGAATGAAATTTAGGACTGTGTTGCAAATTTTAAAAGCTGGGGGACCTAAATGCAAGCGGTTGAAAAGTTTAGTGATCATATTGCAAACATACTAACAGCAGTGTAACGGCGTCAAATGGTCAGGGACCATATTGTAAACAGACTAAATATTGAAAGATTGTATTATAAGTTTTAAAAGTTGAGGGACCTAAATGAAAACTTTAAAAAAATTCAGTGAACATTAATATACTTTATCCTAAAAATAATCAAGAATGGATATTATTAAAATAATAAAATTGTTTTGGGAATATTTAAGTAATAAAGGAACCTATTCAACAAAAAAAAATAAACAAGAGAGAAATGAAATGAAAAGATCGGACGGCACAAAGAAAGGGTAGAAAGGAGAAAAAAATGTATTTTTAATATCTCCCAAGGTTTTTTTATTATTTATTTATAAATCTCATTATTAAAATAGTTCCTCTGCAATTCAATATAGCAGTATCAGGCTATCAGCTTGTAGATTTTGTTTTGTGGCCTTTTCACTTTCTCTCTAAATTAGAGCCATCTTTCATTTCCCTTTAAGAGAAGCTTCAAATCTTGCTAAATTTAGGGCCTCTTTTTCTTACACAGGGATACAAATAGAATAACACCGAATGACAGTTTTGACTTCCATTCTTTTTGGTCGCTTACAGGTTATGTGCAATAATCACTAGGGCATGGAGCTCCTAGAAGGGATTGACTTTGAGTCATCCATCCCAGCTCCACCATTGTTTATAGGTGAGTTTTACCTTAATATATGCTCAGGATTCTCATAAAAGGTCGTATCTTTATTTGTGTTTCCTTCTAAAATTTACTCCCAATATTCTATCCATTCTTTTGAGCTCTTTTGGGGTTTAATATGCTGAATTTGGTGCTTTTTAGCTTTCTGGGTTCGGATTAGTCCATTATTATTCAGATCCTAAAATACCCATATTCTAAAGGTTCAATTTTTGCATCACTTTTCCCGACATCCTCCTAGAAAAGGGTATTTAATTCGGTTGTCGGTTTTCTTTCTCTACAGCTATCTAAGCCATCTTTCCTATTAGTCATGTTTTTTTTCGCTCTTTCATTTTACTTCAGCTTGGGGAGGATGATATATCATTATTCTATCTGGTGTGCTTTCAATTTTGAAAATACCCTTGGAAGAATTTTGTTTCCTCTATGACCATTTGACATTAAATATAATGATGTTCTGTCTTTTGTTCTATTAATGTTTCTTTTTATTGCATTATTGATGTTTTTCAATATAGTTACCTGTTCTATCAATATTTAATAATTTGTTGATTAGGATTGGCATTTCATGAATTTGTTTTTATTAGTGTGGTCTCCTTGTAAGAGGTAAAACTGAGAATGCACAGCTTTTTGTTTTTCTTTTTTATGATTTGATCTTTTCTGTTTGCAGTTAGTCTGATTTGCCATTTAGCTACACTCGTATTTACTAGGCCTTTATTGAATTAACAGAGTTAGTATGATTTTCTTGTACCTGTTTATCTATTTTAATGATATCAACATTATCTTCTTTTGGTATTCTAAATTCAGCATCGGATGTAATAAAGAGTAAGTTTTTTATATGTTCATTATCGTGGTTATACTTTGCTTTGTTTTATGTTGCTAAACTATTCATTTAGTTTTTAGTCAAATTGAATTATTATTTAGGGAGCTGAAAGATGGAAAGGACCAGATTGGATTTAAGATTTCATCACTCTGTATCAACAGAATCAGTGGAATTTGCTTTAGATTTGGAAAGAAATTTCTGCAATAATCTTAATTTGCCTTCATCAAGTACTTCACCTCTTCAGCCCTTTGCATCTAGTGCTCAGCATTCGGAGAGCAATGCTGCTTACTTCTTATGGCCTACTTCAAGTCAATTAATTGATGCGGCAGAAGATAGAGCAAATTGTTTTGAAAACCTACAGAAAGGGGTCTTGCCAGAAACCCTTGGACGGTTGCCGTCTGGACAGCAAGCAACCACCTTACTTGAGTTGATGACCATTAGAGCATTTCATAGTAAAAAACTGCGTAGGTTTAGTCTGGGAACTGCAATTGGGTTTCGTATTCGACGGGGTGTCTTGACGGATGTACCAGCTATTCTTGTCTTTGTTGCTCGTAAAGTTCATAAGCAATGGCTTAGCCAGTTCCAATGTTTACCTACTGCCCTTGAGGTAAGCTCTATGGTTCTGGTTTAATCTCATTTACTGAACCACTATGGTTTCTTTCAAGTTTTTCTTGTTTGGTTTCTGCTTGCTTTTATGGGAGCTTGTTGCAGGGAAGGGTTGTTTTTGGTCTAAAGCTATATTAAACTTGTTGGTTTTCATATTATCCATAGTGGCTAATGTGATGCTAGAATGTTCTCGAGAAGTCTTCAAATTCATTTCAGATTTTACTGAAAAATGTAATGAGTTGTTGATTGTTTCGGAAGTTCCTAAACAAGTATATTGGATCTAAGGAAGAAATTTCCAAATGTAAGGCTAACTTTCCTGAATCAACCTATCTTGTTTGGGAAGTTAAAATGTTTATTAAATGCTGGTCAGGGTCCAGGAGGCGTGTGGTGTGATATAGATGTTGTGGAATTCTCATATTATGGCTCACCTGCAGCTGCTCCCAAAGAACAATTATACACTGAACTTGTACATAGCTTGAGGGGAAGTGATCCAATCATTGGTTCTGGTTCACAGGTAATCGTTCTTATTAAAGTGTGTAAAATTTGGTGTTTGACGTGCATGCATAGACTTGTAATACATAAAATTTATGGATTGATGAAAGGTTAAATGAAAAGGGGATTTGTGGTTAACAATGTTTCCTTGAACAATCTGGTGACATTATTCTTGCAAGCATTGTTTTTTGTTTCTTGGATACGTTCTCCAGGCACACACAATCACACACTTACCCCCGTAACTGAGAGCATATTACACTCTTTTGATGTTTGTATGTCACTCCTACATATGTTCTGCCATTAATGTTGAACACTTTCCACATATTGTTACCCTTGGCTGTTATTGGATTGTCTAATCGACTCGTCCAGTTAGTTGCCACTATAAACTGGTGGCGTTAGTTGATTCCATCAAACACTTTAACTTTTATTTGGTACTAATAATACATTGATAGAGAATCCTGTTTAAGAAGTTCAATTTTTCAATCACTTTAAACGTTCTTTTATGCCATGCCATCAGTTGGCACTATAAACGTCCAGTTTGTGGTATGATGTGTTGCTAACCTATAATTTGTTTCCCTAATAGCCATTTGAGCGCATTCTGTATAATCACCTATTATTTGTTTGGCCAGTTGATAAGTATTTTGAAGTTGCTAATATACATGATGGTATGTAGAGAGGTTAACTGTCAGTTCCTTTTTACAATATTTGCTAGAAATTTGATTATAAAATAAGCAGTTTCAATTGCAAGTATTAGTGAAGTATGGAAGCCGTTATGTTTTTATTTATGCTACAACTGTGACTGAATCATCATATATGTACAGACATTTCAACAAATCAGGCTTGTGTTCTTCATTCTAGAAATGTTTGTCTTTTTTCTTATATTATATGTACAGCTAATTTTCAAATTCACTTCCTAGTACTTCTAGGGGAGCATTAAGACCTGCAACATTTCTTGTAAAAACGCTGGTAAAAGGACTTCATCTGAGTAACTCGTATCTTTTGAGAAACAGAGATTTCCCTCTCATATATCGTCTTGAACTTTTTGAGAAATGGATCCCAGTTTTTATCATTTTAACCATTCAGCTACTTCCTGGCACATGTAGGTTGCCAACCAAGAGACCTATGGAACATTGGGCGCTATTGTAAAGAGCCGAACTGGAAATCGTCAGGTAGGTTTCCTCATAAATCGGCATGTCGCGGTTGACTTGGACTTCCCAAGTCAGAAGATGTTTCATCCTTTACCGCCCAGCCTTGGGCCTGGTGTGTACCTTGGTGCTGTAGAGAGGGCAACCTCATTTATCACTGATGACCTTTGGTATGGAATCTTTGCTGGTATAAATCCAGGTAATGCAGTTCTGATTTCATTGTTTGCCTCCAAATCTTCTGCAAGGAAATCCATTGATCATTGCATTGAATATTTAAGTGGAAAAGAGATAAATTGAATAAAATCAGACCATGATGCTAGGGTCACATGTTTGAATTTCAATGAAGATTTAGAAGGCTTTAGAATCATGAAACATATCATGTTGAACTTTACATTTGTGCTGATGGATGTTCTATTTAGGGCTGTAAATGAAACGAGATAAATCGCGAGCCACTCAAGATCGATTTTGTCAAAGCTCGGCCAACACTCGAATCGAATAGACTTTGACTCGAATTCTTAGCGAGCCGAAGTGAGCTACTTGATACTCGACTTGAAAAGCTCGCGAGCTACTCGAGAAAATAATATATTAAAATTTTAGATTTTTTAGATTAAATTATTGATAATATTAACATTTATATGTTATTTTTATTAAAAAAAATACAATATAAGGCTTTCGTATACTTAAGGTTTGGGTTCGGGTTCGAGTCGAGCTTCAATTTTTGATTCCGAGTGAAGCTTGAAAATTTTAAGTTCGCGAGCTTTCGAGTAGAGTTTCAATTTTTTATTTCGAGTCGAGCTTGACAATTTTAAGCTTGCGAGTTTTCGAATCAAGTCCAGTTTAGTTTTAAAATTTTTGAGTCGAGTCAAGCTCAGCAATACTCGAGCTCGATTCGGCTCGTTTACAGCCCTAGTTCCATTGCTTCCCAATTCCCTTGCATGTCACATCATCACGGTTTGGTCCTCCTGCAGAAACTTTTGTGCGAGCAGATGGGGCTTTTATTCCGTTTGCTGATGATTTTAATATCAACAATGTAACTACAACTGTAAAAGGAGTTGGTCAGATTGGTGATGTTCATATCATAGACTTGCAGTCTCCAATTAGCAGTCTCATTGGAAGGCAAGTCGTCAAAGTGGGAAGAAGCTCTGGATTGACCACTGGGACGATAATGGCGTATGCTTTAGAGTACAATGATGAGAAAGGGATATGTTTCTTTACCGATTTTCTTGTTGTTGGTGAGAATGAGCAGACTTTTGATCTTGAAGGTGATAGCGGAAGCCTCATACTTTTAACAGGTCAAAGCGGAGAAAAGCCACAGCCTGTTGGGATAATTTGGGGTGGGACTGCTAATAGGGGTCGGTTGAAACTCAAAGTTGGCCAACCTCCACAAAATTGGACTAGTGGAGTTGATCTTGGGCGTCTTTTAGACCTCCTTGAACTCGATCTCATCACTACCAATGAAGAGCTTCAAGGTACGCGACAACCATTATTATTATTATTATCTTCCCGCAGTTTGTTGCTCTCATGTCGGTTCTTTATTATCAGTGCTTATGAATACTTATTTGGCTAAGGGGCATTGGCTACAAACTATAATTTGAGCCCTAAAAAATTACATGTTGAAATGAAAGTAATCGCTATCTAATTTGATTGAAATGACTTGCTCTATATTGCAAGTTAAAAGAAAGATGAAAAAAACAAATACAATAGAACACTCGCCGAACGATGATGCATAAATAGACGATTTTGCTCAAGTGATAATTTAGTGAAAAAGTTTAAATTTCAATCTCTGCTTTGCAGTATTGGTGTGCCTTTTTCCCTTAATTTATGTTCTGAATTCGCATAAAATGCAATATTTTAGGCAGGGTATTATCAAGCCATACTAAGTTTTGATACTAGAAGAAAGTGGCAAAAGGCTCTGTGGTTAATATTCTTTGCATTTGGTCTCTTTATTTGGCCTTTTACGCTCTCTATTTGCTGCTGTTATTGACATAGCTTCTGTACAAGATCAAAGAAGTGCTTCTGCAGTGGCGATCGGTTCTATGGTTGGAGGATCTTCTCCCCTGTTCCGGGTTCCATCCAAAGATAAAATTGAGAACTTTGAGCCTATTAATTTAAATATCCAGCAAGTTGAAGGTGAGCCCCAGCAAGGACATGAAATACCGGTCATGTGTACGAAGTATCAAGCTGCAAGTATTGTTGAAGCAGCTCCAAATTTGGAACACCATTTTATTCCAAGTTTCAATGTGAAGTCTTCGGTTCATGATCATTACCGACAGGAAAACCTGGAGTCCAAAAGTCTTTCAGCATTACGAAATGGACCGGATGAGGAGATTTATGTTTCCCTGCAGTTAGGCGAGCCTGAAGCCAAGAGAAGAAAATATTCGGATTCCTTGTGTAGCATCAAAGACTCGAAGTGAAAAGAGTTTCACCAATCAAGGCAAATTGCTTGGAGATAACATCTTACCAGAAACAATCAGGTCAGACAATTATTCCTGTCATTTCTTCAAAAAATTGTTGGGGCTTCCTTAAAAAGAATCAAACCCTGAAAGTGTTGGGGAGTTATCATCATTCCCCGTCTCAATTATTTTGTTTTAGGAATGTGTTATACAGTCGGTCAAAAACGATGGTTAGGGAGTAGCTATGCAAAATATTTGTTTGATTACTGTTATTGCGTGAAATTGGTGTACCATAATAAAGCACCCCAAATGTAGAAACATGGAAATAGTAGCTAGCTGTTAATAATCTGCTGCCATCTGGTAGCTACTGGGTTTCCCTTTGAATGTGTTTCAGTACTTGTACTTTAAGGTCCATGCTTTTGAATTGAATAGCATTTGCTCATACTTGAACTCAGATATGGACTTTTTTTTTAAAAACAAACGTAGTAACCTTGATGGTGCAGCAATTAGAAATGGTTAATGTAATATGTATGTATTAAATGCTAATAGATTTACCTTACACTTAATGTTGTGTTTTAAGTCGATACCTAAATGTTTAAGGAGAAATGCTATGCTGCATACAAGCAACCAAACAGAATGGTTCCCTAAAGCATATTATAAACAGACAGTCCAAGTTTCATGACTTGTGATTTGCGACACAAAACAAGATGTACATCAAACAGATGACCCTGTTCTTGAAACATGAGGTACAGCATCTTCAATCTGTCCATCTTCTTGCTTTTCGGAGATCAAGCTCGGCGGGATATATGATCTGAATATCTGTTCCATGTCTGGGGTTTGCTTAAACTCTTGGCTAGCAACTTCAAGAGCCGTGTGACAAAAAGCGTTATAGAACTTATTTTGATGTACGTAGCAGAAGATCAGAGACATATCGGTAGCAGAAACAGGATGGGAGTGTAGTAGAATTGAGACACCCGAAAGTAGCCACCATTGTAACTTGGTATAACAGCAGGGCGCTCATAATCCTGTTATGCATCTGAGGCCACATTCTTCCGTAGCTCTTGTATGCCGGAACGTAAACTCTGAGTGCCTATAATTCAATGTTCATACGACTTGTCTTCAATGTTCTTCATTGATTCATTTAGTTCAAAAGTTTAGGAAGTGAAGTGTTACCTGATTCCGAAGAACAAGCCAACCCAAGGCAAAGTAAAGCACTCCGAACGGAATGATCACGGGAGCTATAACCGAGTAGCAGAGAACAATGGTGATGACAATCATGTCATTAGGAACTCTAGTGGCATAGCCAATATCACCAGGAAACCAAGATTCTCTGATCTCGGCTTCAGTCTTGCAAAGATATTTCTTCTTCAGATGGTATATGATTAGAGGAACTATTTGGGAAAGATCGAGTCCGTAACCGACAAAGAACCTGCGAATCAAAATGTTAATGACTACGGCTTTAACATCAAGAGATCACAAGATACAAAAATGCAATTATGCTTACTTTAGAGCCACAAACGTGAGGAAGAAAGTTGCATTGACAGGGAGGCTTTTTGCCAGCAAAGGAACAAGGGAGTTAGGATCTTTCTCAATGCTCTTCATTGTCCTAAACAAAGTTCCACCAATAGTAACACCAATGAAAACATTCAACACACTAAAATAGAAATATTTTCCGGATGCCGCCCTTATAACGTGGCTGCTGGACGGAATTTCCTCCATCTTGGATAGAAACAGAAGGAACATAGGCAGTAAAGCCAAAAATATGATGTGTGCAAGCTGAGGAATGTATGCCTCCAACACTGTCTTAATTTCGACCCGATCAACAATTGGCTTCAAGAATGGCAAAAGTTTTCTAAGGTTCTCAAGGGATGTGATTGCAGATATAAAACCAATCGGAATTATATAAAAAACTATAGTCAGGAACACGACAACAATGTATTGTCGAACTATCCTCTTGAAGAACTTGATAGTCAGATTGCTCCATGAGTTGCCTTGGTTCGGGAGCTTCCGTTACCGTCCATCTATCAACCATTTGAGCATGTAGGCTTTGAGCAGCCAAGGCTGCAGTTACCCTGTTGGTAAAGAAAACCAAAGCAGATCCGAGCTGCTTTTCTCACAGGGTCACCTTCTGTTCAGCTTCCAATTTTTGTGTGTTCTTTGCAAAAAAAAAAATGTGTCAGCTCTTTGATCTTTTCATTATAGAACCTGTTTACCATAGAGACCAAGGAAGCCGGTTTTGTTAGTCGGTCTCGCCTTCGTGTATCGCCTTAGCTCGTGCAAGCTTCTTCCCTTGAAGGTGATTCAATTAAGTCACCAATTCATTTCTTTCTTGGTCTTTGATTGATCATATGTTGGCAAATTGTATATTTGTAACCAACAATGATCTGTAGAATGTATCAGGATAGATTGATTTAAAATACGAATCGACCTGATCCTTACGAGTTCGACCTGGAGTGACGTCAGGCAAGTCCCGAACAAGAACATCAAATTGCTTAGGTCTAACTTCAGGATACATTAAAGCATTAGCTCTAAGTGCAGAAACATGTTTATAAGCCTTCCATGAAAGGACATAGATAACAACAGAAACCCAGTACACAGCTATCAAAAAAGCTCACAACTTTGTACTCTTTTCCTGCACAAATCAAAACGAAGCTCGTCAGCAAAGTGTGGGGTTTCCAATGTTCTTGATTTACAGTTATGGCTTACTTCAATATTGGCCATTGACAACTTGTCAAGATCATTGAAAGTCCCTTTGCTTGTTGTAGTATTTCCGTTTTTCCTTAAACCACCATCAGTTGCAGCAACAGGTAGAAGAACCGGAAGCAGTACAATTCCAGACAAAACTAGTATTCCCAACACTGCCACAATTTCAAAAACACAAATTTCAGAAAAGGCAACAACAACAAAAACAGCAGGACCTGTGCTCAAGAAGACGAAGTAGACGGCGGTGTCAACACGGGACCTGTTGATAACATCCTGTTCGGTCGAAGACAAGGCTTCCCTTATCCAAGAGAAAGCGTTCCGGGTCCTTGAACCGACTTCACATGGTTCCAAACCTTTTAAGATCCGATTGGGATAGTACACCACCGAGTTGCCTGGCTTTGAGGAAAGCCAAGCAAACAGCAGCGTCAGAAGAATGAATAGTATGAAAGATGTGCCTAAGGACGTCAAAAAGGAGCTGAATTCCATCTGGGTTTTTCGCCTAGAACTTGTACAAACAGCTTCTTTCCTTGATTAATCTTGTGTTTTCTATCACTCTCTTGTGTGAACTGAGAGAAGGAAGACGAAGAGTCTAGAAATAGTAGCCGTTAATGGTTATAAAGTAAACCGTTGGAGAAAAAAAGAAAAATGAAGAGGCAAGCATGTATAACAAAAATATATCAAATAATTTGTCATTGATAGATTGATTTGAATGATAAAAAGACTAAAAATAACAATAAACATTATTAGGTGTTATCGGTTTTGTTTTAGTTTAAATAATAAAATTGGTAGCGTCTAATAATGATTCTGGTCATATTTTCGAAATCCGGTTAAAACGCTCAATAATAACAAAACCTATAACGTCTAATAATGTTTTCGGTCATTTTTTACCGATTTTATTATTTAAACAATAGTAAAACCGATAACATCTTTTTTTAGCTGTATATTAAGACTATCGCACGTCAACATTTCCTAAACTCCTACTCTACATTATTTTTTAAGTAAAAAAAACACCTTTTGACATCAAAATAATAAAATAGGTAACTTATTAGTCAAAAATATTTTCTAATATGGATTGAAAAATAATTTTTAAAAGTTATAACTTTTAGTTTTCCATTCTTCTCATATAATATTTCTTAAGTGAATTTATTTATTTATATCATGTTTTTATATTTTTTAAAATAACATTTAAAGCATATATTTCATTTATTTAATTTTTTGAATAATAATATTAAATAATTAATTAGATGAATTGTTATATTTCTAAATATGTGTTATTTTAATAATTATTTTTAATAAGATATTTTAACCAGAATTAATTACATAAGTATAATCATTTTAAATTGATTTCAATGCTCTAATTTCATCCTTAAATTATACCTATCATTTTGATTTATTCCTAAACTTTTGAATATTTCAATTGTATCTCTAAATTATGATATTCATACTAAATTAGTAACTTTCTAAACATTTCGATTTCATCCCAAACTATACATATATATTAATCGTATCCATTGTTAACAAAATCATTAGGTCAAGTTATATTATTATATGTTTGGAAAAAAAAACAAATTTTAGGTTAAACTATGGTTGAAACTAATTACATATTTGGATGAATTTTGAGATGAAACTGAAATATTCAAAAATTTATGGATCAATTTAGAAAAAGGGTTATAGTTTAGGGATAAAATTAAAATATTCAAAAGTTTAAGGATTAACTTAGAATGAGAATTAGAATTTTGGAATCAATTAAAATATTCAAAAGTATAAGGACCAAATTAAAATGAGGAGTATAGTTTGAGGACTCTTTTAACCATGTACGCCAATAATTCCAATAATATATAAGGGGAAGTATCCAAGATCTCAAACATTAAGAAGGATAAAAGGCTTGTTTTGTCCGTTGGGAATGGGATCACAAACAAAGTGTAGCTAATCAATCAAACAAATGTGTGAGGTTCATAAATATCCACCTCACTGCTTAATTTTGGTCCCCACTCCATTCCCCATGTTTATAGAAAATCAAACATACATATATGAGATTATCAATCCAAAATGAAATAAATAGACCCGACACGGAACCCACTCTGTCACATACTTACGCGTGTCACCTCACTCTGCCAGTTGTACGGAACATAACAAAGCGACCATGGACTATGCTGGAGACGTGGCTACGTATAGGGATGGACAAGAGATTCAAATGTGACGGTTCCGACTCGACCAGATTCGATTGGATTTTTAAAAAAAATGTATATTCGGGTCGGGTCAGATTTTTTTAAATGTGATGTTCGGGTCGGGTTGAGTTTAGTTTTAGGGTGAAAATATCCGACTCGACCCGAAAAAATATATAATTTTACTTTATATATTTAAAAATAATTACAATAATATCTCTCTTTATATAATTTTTCC